AGATTTCAGGAAAATTAAAAATGCAAAATGGAATAAAACTACTCCAAAAAGCAAAACTGATGCTGGAAGAAAAGCAAATTAGTTTAGATAACTGTAGTATATCGGTAGAAATGTTATGGAGGTTTTGGAAATGTGAGTGTAGAGCTTAGGATGGAAATCGGCCCTAAAAGCGCAAAATTGATAACCACAGTTGAGTATGATGAAGCCATTTTTAAAGATATTATCAGGTTAAATGTTAGAGTGAGAAGAGAAGAAAGCTGATGGTGCAATTCTGGAACACTCTAAAGATTCAGGCAGTGGGGCAGGATGCTGGAGGAGGGGACCAGCAAGGGATCTAAGAAGAATCGGAGAGAGGGAGCAGAGGTGATCAGAAGAGTGGTGTCAGGAAGCCAAAGGAGAGAGGGATTCCAGAAGGAAGGAGTGGGCAGCAATGTGGAAGGCAGTGTGGAGAAATAAAACAGGACACTTTATTTGGTAATCATGAAGTCACTGGAAGCCTTAGTGAGGATAGTTTCATGAGCAGGAGGATCACCATATATTAAGAAATAAACTGGAGAAAAGAAGTAGAAACAACTAGTATAGACTCTTTTTTCAAGAAATTTGATAACGAAGAAGAGAAGTCATCAAAGTAGATAGAGGGGCAAGTGCCCAGGGCTGATTTCTGTAGATCATGTTTTGGCAGTTGGTAAAAATCAGTAGAGGAGGAAGATTGAAAACAAAAGGACTGCTTAGTGGCACAGCACTAAAGAATGGCATCAACCATGTAGGGAGGGAGCTTAGCCTTGGAAGAGAGTCCTGCAGGCTCTGCGATGAGACAGGCACGAAGGAGGTGAGGAAAGCCCAACTATTGCTAAGTCAGGTAGTGAAGGAGCAGCAGTTAAGGGCTATGACCTTGATGGCCTTGTTTTCTTAGAGCTGAAGGGGATAAAGGGGTAAGTTGCTAACTAGAGCTATATATTATAAGAGAGCTAAAAGGGCTCTTATGAGAGATTTTAAGAATGTGTAACAACAGACTGCGTAAGTGATTTGTTTGGTATCTAGGGTGGATTAAGAGAGTGTTGAAGAAGGGCCGCTAATCGGGAGGCAGGACTGGTTAGAGAAATGAGGAGTCATGCCACAAGCCCTAAAAATGACAGTGTAGGAAGAGGAATCTATTCCATTGGAGGATGAAAATGTATTAATAAGAATAAAATGTATTTAGTTGAAAGTTTACAAAAGTATAATTGAATGGATTTTATTAATACCTAGAATTATTCTATATGTTAGGGAAAAAACCAAAATGGATTAGTTGGTGAGTACATGGGTTTGGGGATCAAAAGATCAGGAGGCGGAATGTATTCAGGCATACAGCCACAGGAGGGGTCAGTGATGAGGGGTGGAGCAGCCTTGGGAGAAACCTGTAAAGGGGCTGGGAAGAGATTGGGTGAGCGGAAAGCGAGTAAAGGACCAGGTGCACAGGAGCTGAGGCTGGCGGTAACAGGGAATGTCTTTTTTAGTTAGCTCCATAACTCTTGGGTCCTGCAGCTCTTTGGTGTAACTACACTAAATATCTGTGAGGCTTCATCACCCCATTTGTTTTTCCTGGCAACCTCAACCATTAGAAGCCAATCTAAAGCTGTACACTGTATAGCTGGACAAGGACATAGTTAAATTCTTTCTCTGGGATCCTTCTCTGAATTGTATTCAGTTGCAAACATTTGTGACATCTTGCTCCCTTGATTGACCTGCCTTGATTGACCTACCTTGCTGTCTCTAAGGAGGGAGTGCCTACTCAGAGTGTCCTCACTCAGCCAGAAATTAGAATTAATTCACTCTCATGTTTTAGCTTTGACCTGGCTTCATAGAAGGAATCGTCACACAAGAGCAAGACTCAGACATCCTTAATTGTTGCGAAATATTACCTGCAACAATTACTTCCTAACCATGTATAAGGTTAATTTTTAGATCATGCTGCCTGTAATGTATAAAGGGTTTTTATTCTGTGCTGTAACTGTGACTCCTAAACCAGTGTTGGGTCCTTGTTCCTCTGTAGATCGTTGCTGTGCATCCGCATTTTCTGAGATCCAGCTGCAAGCAGTTTGTTACTGGAGGGAAAAAGGTAAATGTTGTGTGTCTGCCATCACATGTGGTCTTTGAGGGGGATTCTGTTTGCTCTTTAATTTATCCTAAATATTTTTAATGTCTGACTATTCACTTGGAGAAATTTTAAGAACCATGTAAGGAAATCATAAGACTATCAGCTTGGGGGAGGTGTGGTCTCAGTGTTTCTCACTGACATTTCTTTGAAGTAGCTTTAGGGCAAGAAAAAGATGTATCCCCAGTCTGGAGTCTGGACAAGTTTTAAGGGTTAGGAAGAACAGAGTGGCATGTGGTAGTGCTAGTGGGGCAAGTTTTGATTGGAAGATTTTGAAACTTGGCCAGTAATGTAAAGGGTTGAGGAGCAAGAGGAAGCACAAAGGAATTTAAACCTGACAGAGTTTGATTGGTCAGTTCTGTATTTGTTCATATTTGGTCTAGGCATCAGATCTTTCTTATTGAAGGAGGACCCTTTGCTTCATAAAGGGCTCTGGTGGTCACTCTTCTATATGAGTTCCATAGACTGAAGAGTCTTGGTTCTGGCGTCATCTTGAGGATGGGGTGGCATATGTGTAGTGCTATCTCTAAAATAACTCAAGGATTGTATTAATCACCAATTTGCTTGAAGGAAGCAGTACTAGTATGCAGTTTCAATAGGACAGAAAAGCATACTCGTCATTACCTTACCCAGCATTTCTCAAGCACTGGTTTTAGTTTATGGTGGAGGGGCAGATCCTGTAGATCCTGATTCCCTTCCATGGCATGAGCCAAGATTGGACCAGCGCATTGTTATCCTTAGGCTCTAGCCTCATTAGCCTCGCATAAAAATATCTGTGGGATTAATCAATGGGAATTGCAGATTTAATCTAACGCTGTCTCTTAGATCTGCAGCTAATTTACCCCTGGAAAAAAAAAAATAACTGTCTCACTTGGGTTTGTTGACCTCGTGAAGATTAGCTTTAACATTCCTCTTACATTCCTCTTGTTAAAGTATTTCTTTACTAAACACTTTTCTAGTAGGACATGTTATATGAGATATAGCATAAACTCATTTAGCTCTACTTTAAACTTATACATTTTTAATTTAAAAGTCAGTAGACATAAAGAATGCTGAGCCAATGATTTTTTTTGTTGTTTTGTTTTTTAAGTGGCTTTAAAAAATAAACTTTTATTACCTCTTAAAAATTCAAAATTTGAGTATTAAAGCATGGCTTACTTGTGTGGTTCTGGCTCTAAACCTTTCTTCAGATTTCAGTCTAGATTTTAGCCAGGGCGACAGTTATCTGAAGGCATGACTGGAGCTGGAGAATCTCCTTCTAAGATGTCTTCTTAATAATAGTCCCTCATAAAATATTAATAACTTAAAATATTTATAAATCACTGTGGTTTCAGTAATTCTTTAGTGCGGGATGCAGTTTTGAATCCAGCTTCCAATTTTAGGAGTTAGAGATTTTATAGTTGTGCCCTATTTCTTGAAGGTATTGGTATGAAAGAACATATTAGAGATAATATCAGTGGTGATGTCCAAGTGGTAAGACTCACACTCTGAAAGTAGGATTTCTCTCTGTCAGTTGTGTTCTTAATAATCAGCTTATTTGTGGAGTTTAATGATTGTTTTTATACTGTGAGGTATACCTATAGTCTCATCAAGTCTGCCACAAGAGTTTTGCTATATGAATGTCTTGTCAACCTGCAGGATACCAGGGATAATTGTGCCAATAACATATTCTTCATCTTCTGCTGAGCATTTGATATCATTTGTGGACATCTTGTAGGAAGGACAGTGTGAATGCAGCTGGGCCAGAGCTCATTGAATAGATACCTGAACATTGTGTGAACAAAAAAGTAGCCTATCACCCAAGTGCAGATGAGGTAATGTGGGAAGAAATTGGAATTTATACAAAGATATACATTGTGATCAGCAGTAAAATGGATAGAACACTGAATGGCAAGAAAATCATGTATTTGGTTATCTTTTTGGTTATCATTGACTACTTTACAAGTTTTTCTATGTTCAGTGCTCTTTGAGAGAGCATTCTGATTTACTCCTTTTTTCTTGTCGAGTTCTCCAGATACACATCTGTAGATATTTTCCAAGCACAAAAAGAATTATATGTATATAAAATAAAAATAGTTCCAACCATCTGGTAAAAAACTTTAAAAAAATGATATTAAGTAGAATTTCAGGATTAAAATAATTTAAAAGAGAAAACATGTTTAGTATATTGTATAAAGGGCTTAGTATATTGGTTTTGATAAAAGTATATGTGTGCTATTTTGAAGCACATGTGTAATCACTTCAAAATAGCACATGTCAATGTGATTGCACATGTCAATGTAAGCGATGTTAAGGCATCTCTTATATTTTTTAGTAGCTTTGTTGGTATATAATTTGCATACCATAAAGTTCACCAGTTTAAAGTGTACAGTTCAAGGGTTTTTAGTATATTTACAGAGTTATGCATAATCACCATAATCTAATTTTAGAGCATTTTCGTCATCCCAGTAAAGAAGCCTGATACCCATTAGCATCAGTCCCTATCCTCCTTCCTTCCCTTCCCAGTCTAGCAACCACTAATCTACTGCATTTCTCTATAAATTTGCCATTCTGAATATTTCATATAAATTCTGGATATTTTGTGTAAATCAACTTTTACAATAATACATGGCCTTCTTGTGTGGCTTCTTTCATTAGTTTTCATAATACATCCATATTGTAGCCTATATCAGTACTTCGTTCCTTTTTATGGCCAAATCATATGTCATTGTACTGATATATCATATTTTATTTAGTCATTTATCAGTTGATGGACATTTGAGTTGTTTCCACCTTTTTACTATTATGAATAATACTGCTGTGAATATTCATGTACAGCTTTTTGCGTGGTCATGTATTTTCATTCGTGGGTATGGAACTGTTGTATCATATGGTAACTCTATGCCGAACACTTTGAAGAATTGTCAAACTGTTTTCCAAAATGACTACACTATTTTGCATTCTCACTAGCAGTGTGTGAGGGTTAATCCTCTACATTCTCACCAACACTTATTTTTATCTGTCCTTGATTATAGCCACCTTTACAGTGGTATGTCGTTTTGATTTCAATTTTTTAAATGACTAATGTTATTGAGCTTCTTTTTATGTGCTTATTGGCCATTTGCATATCTTCTTTGGAGAAATGTCTGTTTGAATTCTTCGCCTATTTTTGGATTGAGCTATTTGTCTTTTTATTTTATGGTTGTAAATTTTTAAAATATATTTTGGATGCATGTCCCTTATTTATATGTGATTTGCAAACATTTTCTCTCAATCTGAGTTGTCAATTGATAGTGTCATTTGAACTACAAAAGTTTTTAATTTTGATGAAGTCCCATTTAATATTTTTTTCTTTTGACACTTGTGATTTTGGTGTTCTATTTAAGAAATCATTGCCTAATCCAAGGTCATGAAGATTTATGCCTGTGTATTCCTTCCAAGAGTTTTAGAAGGCAAATTATTTCAAGCATTTTGATTTGGCATTCTTTCCCTTTAAAAAGCCATGATAATTTCTCCTACTTATGTTAGAGGCTTAAGAAATATTGGTATGTAAATATGTCCCCTGTTCAGGGACTTGAAACATACAGATTATTGACTGGTTACTTTGGATTCTGTAAGTTTATTATGTAAATATGTATTTAGTTAGTAGTAAAAAGGAGTGTTTATTCAATAAACTATAGTGACCTCTTCAATACAGTTAAATAAATAGAGATTTTCAAAATGTGCACCAGCTTAATGTGGTGTACAGAAATCTCCAGAGAGTTCTTCCTCTGTTATGTACATGGTCTGCATTTTTAAAGATCACTTAAGCTGTAGAGTATTGGCATTAGTGTGTTTTGTTTGTTGTAAAATAGATTTATTTAATTGAAGATATTTCAGGAAATATTTTTGATTTGGAATGTATTATTGATTTTAAAAACTAAAAAAAGGGCTTTTAGGTGACATTAAGAAAGGAGTACTATTGCAAAATGATTATTTTTTTTCTTGAAGTGTTAGGTGCTTTTAAAGAGGAGCTGATTTAACTTTGACTAGTTTTATTTATTTATTTATTTATTTATTTATTTATTTGCAACTGAGTTGCAGCATTTTAGACCTTTGAAAAATGAGAAAAACAAAGATTATGTTGGCCCAATCAAAACTCTGATGATTGCAACTGCAGTTTTCAGCTAGTACGATAAACTAAGCAGAACAAGTTTGAAGAGTCCAACGTTTAGCAAATGGTGATAACCTTGCAGCAATCGTATATTGCAGATACCAAGACCTCTCTGTTTAGAGCAGATGGCACATCATAGGAGGAAAAGAAAATAAAGACAAATATCATGTAACTGAGAGGTTATGACCTTCTGCCTTTAAGAAATAATTTAATCTTCAAAAAAAATTGGAGCAAAGACTAGACAGATGAAGATATAATGTGAAGTACAGGCATTCTTAACCCTCAAGAATACTGATCTTCCCTAGACTGACAGCTAAATGAATCTTGGAATTATATGCCAACTTCTGTAAACAATGGTGAACGTGGCACGGAGACTAGAGAAGTGATAGGAATAATAGAACGAGATATTCATGATGTTATTTCTTAAGAATATTTGAAAGAGATGTCTATTTTAATATTTTAGTTTTGATTTTATTAAAATTTTAAATTCCTTAAAAACAGTTTAAAAAGTAATTAGAACATACAATTCAGAATAGCCTTGTAAAACAGCAGTGCAGCAGAAAAAGCCTGAAACTACAGTTTGACACATTTGTTGATATTTCCTTTAAAGGTTCTAGCTTCTTTGGTCTTCAGAGATAACTTTTTATCCACCAGGGACTAGGAAGAAGAGGCTTTAATTCTGTCTGGTATAAACTTTTATTTTAGGCTTTCAAGGTAACTCGTTAGTAGTTAAATGCAATAGCTAAATTTATGGACTCCCCTGCTTAACACATGAGCATATGTAAAGCTTATTCTAAATTCTGTTTTGTTTGCATGTCAGAAAAAAAAAGGA